AAGATGAGAAAATAAGTAGAAAAGTAGGTCTCATATACAAAGCCTTTATAAAGGATTATAAACCACGTGACCAGTAATTTAGTTTGGAACAGTAATTTCATTTCCTTCACGTTGGCAATATTCCGCAAATTCCGTAAAATTAAAAGAATAAGATAAGTATTACATTAAAACGCCACATTTTGTTTCACCAACTGTGAGTGGTGGGAATTTTTCACGAGATTCTATTCAACCAATAAGCGATTACATTATGTAGAGCGTAACTGTAAAGCTGTAAAGCGTAAACAGTTTGTTAATATCCATTGCAAACGAATCATTGATATTGGTGACGCTAAGATTTAGGGAGTTTTCGTTGCCAGTACCAGATATACTTACCACTATATATACCTACAATATATTTACTAAAGCAGGAATAATACGAGAATGACAGTAAGTTCGGTTGTCCTCTACTAGGAGGATATATAGACCGTTGTAATGTTATTTCATATCATCCATATTAGGTCAATTATTAAACGAAAATATTACTTTTGGTTTGTAGTGCAAACGTGTCTTTAACTCTTCGGATTATTCTATTGTGAGTATTCAAAAATCACCTTTTATCGTGACATATCGTCGGGTCAATCATCTTATTTTCGCTTCAGGCATATCCCTCTTCATGGAATATGCTGTATAGAACACTATTTTACTGCAGGCCGTATTAATTTCTCATAGAGACACTGTTCTTATGTAATATTTTTATCTGTTTCTATTTTTCGGATTTTTATTCTATACAAATATTAGTATTAAAAAAAGCCAAAATTAATTTGTTATAACAAACATACTTTCCTGGACATGTTTCACATTTGTAGGCCACACACACTGCATTAATGAATCTTATCTTGAATAAATAATGAAGTAACAATACAAATTCTGATGATGGCCATTCTGGCGTATCGAATAATCGACCGTTCCGAATATTTTTTGCATATCTGACCAGTACCCAAAAAAGATATAAAAATCGAAAACAAACATTTCGAAGAAGAGTTCAAAGCAAATATTTGTTCTGTAAAGCATGTATGAAATAAAAGAGTAAGTAAAATTGCATCAGAGACAGATACTTTGTTACAGTCTTTTTTTGTGGGACCCTCTTCAATTAAATACACCAAGTATTTTTGAGTGTTTAGTTAACTGTTGTTTTAATAATTGAATATTTTAAATGTTGATTATTTAATACTTACTACTGTTTTTGTTTCTATTTTGGACAAAATCAAGTTGGTTCCATATTTATAATTATTGCTTTTGGTTTTGAAAGACAAAAAGTAATACATTGTTTTCGGGAATAGACAGGATGTAATTAAAATGTTTGTAAAAATTTTAAAGGGGATTCTACTTCACAAATTAATAAAATAATCTAATATGCCAACAAACGTTTTATTGTCCTCTTTCACCAACCCATTTTCTAGATAAATATATTTGACTTTGCTATTTATGTTTGATTAAGAAATATTTTCAAATGATATGTTCTTAAATATTTGTCACATTTGACATTTTCTCCAAAACATGCAGAAACTGTGTGTGTGTGGAGTAAAAACATGTCCAAAATCATTTAAGTAATATTGTGTTATAGACTACAAACCCATCGGAAATTTTCAAGGGGTCATTTGACCCAACATGAATTACTTATAAATCAATACTACAATAGTAGTATAAACGAGTTTAATTGCTAAATATTGTATAAATACAATTTAAAAAATTTACATTATTATAAGTTCATTGGAAAGAGTGCGAGCATAAATTTTTGTTTTTTAATATCTAGATCAAAACAAAAGTATTAGTCATTCATAGGTAGCGTAAATAAAAATAATTCGTTTCGTCTTTGAACAAGGTAAACACACATGTAAGAAGGATTATTCCACCAGCATTTACGCTTATATAATAGTTCCACCATAAAGGCGCTGTTGATGTTGGCTTCTTTAACTTGACCCAAATACCTGGAATAATTTCTTTCTCATGCAGTAAACAACTTCAGGATTTCCTCTCTCGATAGTTTTCACTTAATATAATTCCTGTCTAATATTGTTTATTTGAGCATTAATTAGTCGCAAAAATTTACATAGTAATCGTTTAAAATTATGTGGGTATCTGCTTTTGACGTTTTCTTATTCGACTCCCGACGCCTCTATTATTAAATTAAAGCTGTTATGTACATACAGGGTGTAACTTTGAGTGAGGGTTATATTTATACAGAGTTTACCTTTAACCTTTAGAAATACGTAATAATAGTTAATTTTTTAAATTCCATAGTGAAAACTTTTTTTTAACCTCTTTTTAATTATAGTATGACATCAAACAACAGGAAAGTTAGACATAAAAAGACGGGAAAAAAACGAACTTTTTTAGTTTGTAATTTTTTTTATAGAGAAGGTTTTGAGGCAAGAAAACGTGTCACATACGCAACCACCAGCAACATACAGCGTTTTGAGATATAGACATATACAGATTGATTCAAAATTCAGTACAAAGAATTTAGGTGCGTATTTTTGTGGTCAAAATAAGACTTTTTTGTTTAAAATTGATAAGGGAATAAACGCACTAATACGAAACGTCAATGTACAGCAAAGGAGTTAGGTCCAATTTAATGCAAGTGTACCCTTATAGGTGGCGCCCTCTACAAGCAGCGTCATTAGCATATTTAAATTTATCATTCTATAAAAACCCCGTACCACAAGTTTTATGCCAACATTCAAATCTGTTTGGAAATTATTCCTAAAAAACCGAACAAAATATGTATATCAAAAACTAAACATTTCTGGACCCACATTTATAGGAAACAACAGTCTTATTTTGACCCCAAAAATATGCCCCTAAATTCTTTGTACTGAATTTTGAATCGGCCTGTGTACAGGGTGTCCCGGAAATGGCGGGCAATCTCTCGGATATGGATAGATAATGAGAAAATAATGTCACAAGTTCATATACATTTTTTTCCTCCGGGTTCACCCTGTAGAGTTATTAGATCTTGAAGTTGAGAATTAAAAATGTTTTTTTTGTTGTAACTTTTGCATTTTTCATTAAATTTTGAAAAGTTTTTTGGCTGGATCTATAATTTTTGAAGCTGCTTTGGATGATAATATGAAATCCTCGATAATAATTATGGGGGCCCAGGGGCAAAGCACCCCCCACCAAAATTTCTCGAAATTTTTGTTCCACTATACCCCAAATTTTCCATCATTTTATAAAAATCTATGGTATTTTACGTAAAAAAGGTATACTTGTTGAATATCCATAAAATATAATTTTGTATAATTGTTAACGTGTACTGACAGTTTCTAAAGTGTGATTTTATATCAGTGGTCTTAAAGGTAAATCACATGACTTACTTTTAACACTAGTCCTAAAAATAATTAACTTTTAACACTCGTATCATAAAATGAAATTGACTGACAGCATGCGTTAAAATTATACCTTAATGACGTTTGTAGAAAAACAAGTTTAGAAACAACGGTACTGTTCAATTTGAAACATTTTATTTAACAGAAACACAGGTTTAATCGTAGTTGGCTTTTACATATCAGAATAAAGGACAAATAATTTGCAATAGCAGTGTTCCAAATTATGAGAATTTGGACTTAACTAACTAAACGAAAAGTGCATGACAATCAAAATTTTGTAACTAATATAATTCATAATAAATTCTCAATATTAGTTCCACCTTCTCTTATACAAATACGAGCTCGTTTAACAGAAGACTGTTGCACTCTCCATAACATTTCAGGATTTTGTCGTATTTCATTTGCACAATAAAAAATCCTTTCTTCTAATTCTTCTCTAGTGGTTACAGGTGTGGAATAAACAAGATTTTTCAAGTGCCCCCATAAGAAAAAGTCAAGTGGGTTCATATCTGGAGTTCGGGCAGGCCAATGAATAGATCCACCGCGACCTATCCAGCGATTAGGATACCTCGTTTAAATTTCTGGTTTCAAGATCAACATCTTCTAACAGTTGTGATAATTGATGCACAAGGAAATCTAGGTAACGTTGACCATTCAGTCTAGGGGGTAACACAAATGTACCCAATAAGTAAGGACCAATAATTCCACTCCAAACATTAACATAAAATTGTCTTTGGTGCCTAGTTTCAATAATAGCGTGTGGGTTCTCATCAGACCAATAATGTAAATTATGGGAGTTAATAACTCCATTCCTCCCAAAACTTGCTTCGTCAGTATACAGAATTAATCTCGTAAACATAGGATTTTGCTCATGTCTCTGAAGAAACCATTGAAAAAACTGTACTCTTGCACGAAAATCATCAGGATTAAGAGTATGCACTTTTTGGATATGGTAAGGGTGAAGAAGCTGTTCGCTAAGGATTCTTGCAACAGTGGTCTTTGGAACATTGGTAAAAGAAGATAATGACCTAATGCTAAATGTTGGATGAGCAGCAACTTCGTCCAGTATATTTTCCTCTACTTCAACTGTACGTGCTGTTCGCGGGGCACCCCTGTTTGCAGTAACAGGAGCAAATTGACCTAAAGATATTAAAATTTATTTAATATCCATTTTGTTTAATAATAGTAATCGTATTTTACCAGTTTCTCTTAATCTTTGATTAATACGTTCGAAAGTTTTGCGCTTCGGAATCCTTCTATTAGGATAAGAATGCTGGTAAAATCATCTTGCTGCCGAAGTATTACAAAGAGCTCGCCCGTACATTAAATGCATATCAGCATATTCTTCATTGAAATACTCCATATTTTATAACAAATTATGAGTTATGAGATGAGTCTTAGATTTAAAACTACGTATTTGACAAGTTTGACAATTTAATTGCCTTTGGCACACTCTGACATGTCGAAGCCAACCACGATTAAATCTGTGTTTCAATTAAGGCGGCGTTCCGTAAGTTAATCAGGATAACCGGTTGGTAACAGAGTGGTTTGAATTCGGTTACGGTTTGGTTTCTGTAAAAAGCGGTTATTTAGAAACGCTTTGGTTCGCTTCGCTGGACAGTGTTTGTTGATGATTGGATTTGATGTTATATGTATAACCAGTATACCACTTATCTTAGAATCATTTCTTTAATTCTAATATTATTGTGTTTTTGAATGACCAGCAGCTTTGTTTTGTCTTGTAACTTATAAAATGGATATTAATGCGAATGCTGCTCGCCTATTTTGTGAATTACTACTGGATGATAGTTCCAGTTCAAGCAGTGAAGATGAAGGAGTAAGAGGCCCTTTAGGTATTTTTAACATTATTTTGATTACAGACACTAGAATTAACCCTAAACTCGCCCCAGTCTAGTGGGTACTTCTTCTAGTGCATAATATGTTACGGTTATGTCGTTTACAATCTGTAAATCTTAAGATATAGTACCTGTGATATCATTTTAAATAATATTTACTACATTTTTATAAAAAAAAGACCCCGTGTGGAGCAATATATAGATGATGTCGTGGCCAGATATACCGAAGTTGAGTTTCAACAAAATTTTCGATTGAATCGAGGCACATTCAATGTTGTTCTTGAAATAATAAAAAATAAAATTTCATCAAAGACAGTAGAGAATGGTCGCCCTACTGTGCCTCCTAAAACACAACTGTTAATGGCTCTCTGGTATTTAGGTACTCCTGATTCTTACAGGTATGGGTAAAAATACTCTAGATTATTTCAAGATTATTAAAAAATTATTAGACACAAATTTTTCGACTGTCACAAAAAATAAAAATATGTGAAATTTTGTCAATATTTTTTATAGATCTGTTTGTGGACGTTTCGACTTGGGTAAGGCTACAGGTTTAAGAGCAACAAGATGAGTTGTTAATGCTTTATTTGAATTGGGACCGACATTTATTAAATGGCCCAATGGTGAATATGCTAATGAAATAAAAGAAGAATTCCTTCGCCAGGATTTTCCAGATACAATCGGCTGTATTGATGGATGTCATATTTCTATTCCATTACCAAAAGAGCATGGGCAGTCGTATATAAATAGAAAGGGATTTTCTAGTTTGGTTTTACAAGTATGTTGCATTAATATTACTTTTTCTATAATTATTATTTATATAACTCATTACATACATTTTAAAAGTTAATAGGTATCGTCAAGGCATGAATTCAATGTATGCATATCATAACATAATATAATTTTTATAACACAATCATTCATAATGACAACATAATTTTCAAAATATTATCACATTAATAAAGCAATCAAATACACAATATTTTATTTTAGGTGGTATGTGATCACAAATTAAAATTTACTCACGTATATGCTGGTGAACCTGGTTCCTCACATGATGCTAGGGTATTTAAGAATAGTGACCTATATCAGAAAATGATGAATGATCCACAAGAGATGTTCCCAGAAAATAGCCATCTGGTAGGCGATAGCGCATACCCTTGTTTCCCTCAAATCATGACACCTTATCGTGATAATGGGCATATGACTTTGCGGCAAAGAAATTATAACTACAAATTGTCAAAAGTACGAAGCAATGTTGAAAGAAGTTTGGCTTTACTAAAACAACGATTTCGATGCCTAAAATATTTAGATATGCAAAGATTGGATTGGGCGCCTAAATACATTGTGGCATGTGCAGTGTTGCACAATATCTGTATTATGCGCAATGATAATTTACAAGACATTGAAGTTGTTGATATCAATGAATTAGACCAAGATTTCATTAGATTCAATGGAGTTTTAAGACCAATACAGCTACAAGGAGAACAAAAAAGGAATCAAATATGTGCATTACTGGATATGTGATTATTAATAATATTTTGTAGTTTTTTAACAAGGAATAAAATTTTTCAATTTGAGATTGTTAGTTTTAATTTTTTATGTAGATTATGTAGGTAATAAATAAGCATTTAATAAAACATTTTAATACTCAGAAAGATACAAAAACAAATAATTTTTATATGCATATAGTGTGTCCCTGGATAGGTGAAACGACTCTGGTAAATGATATAAAATTTTAGGTTTGAAATATACCCTTCTGGGTAAAACATGGCACATTTTGTTTAAAAAATAAGCAGTGCTCAATACTAGAAGGCCACATTTCAAATCTAAAATTTCTTGTCATTTACAAGAGTTGTTTCACCTATCTGGGGACGCACTGTATATTTTACATTTATATAAAACTAATATTATTGTGCTTTCATAACATTTTTCAATGGTTAAGGAAAAGGAAAGGACATTATTCTTGTTAGAAATAAACGTTGGATTGCACTATGACCAGTATTAAACCTAACAAGAAAAAACAAATGGGTAGAAAAAAAAGGATCACATTCTTAAATATAAGATGACTGCGTCAATTGACATCTTGGAAAATAGAGATCTGAAATATTTGAATATTTGGTAACATCACAAAGTCCATGAGGCGAGCACAACTAAAATATATAGAACTCTTCGGCACTTTCGGTTATACTGAAAGTCGACACCAATGTCGTGATTTTTAAATGGTGCACCATGTATATTGTATTTTTTGATTCTATGGAAAATTTTAGAATCACTTTATGTAACATTTCCCATATAGCCAGGAGTTATCGATTTTACAATATTAATTTATTAATATTCCCCTATAAGGAATATTATTAATATTCCCCTATAAGGAATATTATAGTCTAAAATTTTCCATAGAATTGAAAAGTGCAATAATACATAGGATGTCCCATTTAAAATAATCAAGTTGCACTCAACTTCCAGTATCACCAGAGTTACTGAAGATTTCTAGATATTTTAGTTGTATTCACGCTAGACTTTAGCTACGTTGCAAAATGTTCAAATATGTATTTAAGTTCAATATTTTCCCAAATTACAATTGATGCAGTGATTTCTGGTGAGATACCCAGTACAGTTTATTTTTTTTCTGAAGAAACATTTTCTTTTAACCACTCAAACAGCTCCTGCTTAAATCGCATGTTTTCGTTATGTCTTCTTTGTTTATTTTCTTCCCGTTCTCTAGGGCTTAAAATATTCCTTTTACATTTTCTTGATTTTACCTCTGCATTGTCAACGGAATCATCAGAGTCTGTTACAAGACTTCTTTTTCTGAAAATGCCACTAGAGCTCGCTGTTGCCAGTGGCTCATAACGGGGATCCTTTGCATAAATGTCATGAAAATCGTCAAAATACTCCCAATATACAGGCCTATTTCCAGTTTTCTTTTTTTCAGTCAGAACTTTCTCATAGCTTTTTTTTAAATTCCTCAACTTTTCGTCACATTTGGAACCTGATTTTACCACGTTGTTTTGTAATAATGTTTCGCTTATACTTTCCCACACTTTTTTTTTGTTATACATTGGTGAAAAGAATTTCTCTCTATGTTGCTTATAAGCATTTATAAGCAATTTAATGTTGTTACTGGTCCAAACCTCTTGGCCATTAGAGTTTATATTTTCTGTTAAAGACTTTTGCCCCAATTTTATTGGTGTCGAACTTTGCTCTGTATTCTTTTCTGGGTTCAATTTTTGATTTTGGACATTATTATTATAGCCTTCTGGATAAGCTACATTTCTTTCAAAATCAATAGCTATATTATTGTAGTATTTAAAACAGGTGTGAGTTTCTAGTAAACCATTTTCCAAAATCTCTTTTAAGTTTCCAATTATAATGTTGCAAATACTGCAAGTTAAAATATTGTCCTAAAAAAAAATATATTTAAAATAAACAACCATTACACATAATAATTAATATTTACCTCGTGTTCCATTTGAAGGCAGTTTACAGAAAAATGCTCCTGTTTACCTCTTATATGTATTTTTTGTTTATGTATCCATGTATCCCATGTGATCATAACCACAAAATATTGTCAAAAATGTCAAAATATCAAAAGAAACCGCAATTACCAATCCAACTAGATCGGTAGTTCTGGTTGACAGTTGTTACCGATTTCTTCAGGAACCGCGTTTCATAACCTAACCAGATTTCAGAAATCGGAGGGTTACGGAACGGGAACCGTAAAAACCAAGAAATTCGGTTAAGATACGGAACGCCGCCTAAATAAAATGTCTCAAATTAAATGGTAACTTCCTCTTTAAACGGGTTTGTCTCAAAAAATATCTATTTTATGGATATTCAACAAGTATACCTTTTTTAAGTAAAATACCATAAATTTTTATAATATGATGGAAAATTTGGGGTATAGTGGAACAAAAATTTTTTTCTAGAAATTTTGGTGGGGGTTGCTTTTCCCCCGGGCCCCCATAATTATTATCGAGGATTTCATATTATCATCCAAAGCAGCTTCAAAAAATATAGATCCAGAAAAAAAAAGTTCAAAATTTATTGAAAAATACAAAAGTTACAGCAAAAAAAACATTTTTAATTCTCAACTTCAAGAGCTAATAACTCTACAGAGTGAGCCCGGAGGAAAAAATTTTATATGAACTTGTGACATTATTTTCTCATTATCTATCCATATCCGAGAGATTGCCCACCATTTCCGGGACACCCTGTATATGATTTTTCGCGTTTTTTCTTGACGAAAAACTGCCAACATCAATTAAGAAAGTTGTATTTTTTCGAAAAATGTTTCAAATAAAAGTTCAAAATTTTCTACACAATAGTTTTCCCGTATATTTTTTAAATGAAGTACAGATTATGTGAAAATTGATGATTTGGAGCCAAATAATAGTCAATTCATTTTTAAATAACAAAATTGAATTAGAGAAAAGAAAATACGGAAAATTCTTGGAAAATCTTATAGTTTTCCGAGGTTTGAATATTTATGGGCATCAAACGTATCATTTTATAGGTTTTTGAGGGTATCCATAACGAATTAATTATGCGCTTTTTAATATTTTAATATTTTCCAGAAAAATCTGTTTTCTTTGAAATTTTTTTGCGACAGCAATGAAACAGTTTTACATAAGAAACCTAGAAATTATATTATACAGTGTGTCCCATTTAAGCATTAGCTACCCATGTAAAATTGTTATATATTGACCGAGTTGTTTCAACTTCTTTTTGTTTGATAGATCTCAGAAAAAAGAAGTAGAATGTATAATTTCCTTATTTTCGTGGTCTAAATCATGGCCAACTGAGACGCGTTTTATAGGAAGAAAAAACGAGAAGTAGGTAATATTAGAGAATTTTTTTCGACAAAAACTGCACCGGATTCTTATTCAGGACTCTCTAAAACCCTACTATATCAATTTTTGTTGTGATAGAACACAGGGTGTTGCAGAAAATTAAATCTTAAATTTTTAAACCAACAAGATTTGTTTACGAAGCAAATGCATTATTTGAATATTATATCAGTATTATTCAAATTAGTAATAACGGAAACTTATCATTACAAAGAGAAAAAAATTAAACGTTATTTAATAGAAAAATTCATTGAGCATCTTCAATTATTAATTATTTAGTGAAAATATTAGATATTATTATATAATATAATATATTACAAAAAGGTATAATTGGATTAATCTATAAAAAAAATTGTTAAAAATAATAAATAAAAAAATATATTGATATAATTTTTTTTATTTAGCTCCAGTAAATTCCTTTCCTATTGTGACCAAATTTAAATTTTCAATTTCATTATATTACAAATTTCAAAATAAGAAAAAAAAATGGATTTTAATTATTCTAAATCTGTACGAAGTGACAGTAGTATAGTTCAGCTAAAATATTTCATATTAATCAGATAGTATTTTTATTTATTTTAAATCGTGTTTGTTTTTTTAAAACAGCAAAAATAATGATTTTAAGACATAACTTACTTTTATTTACAATTAGTAATGTATCTACATACTAATATTGGTTAATATGTAATAAATCATGTGAATTGTTTAAAAACAATTTTCTTAATGTTCGGCGTTTCGTCCACATTAATATAAAATAAATATGGTGACTTTAAAATAACGCGTCGTGGTCATATTAAAGCAATCTGTTTTCACTAAATTATTTTTCATTAGTTTCGCTGTTTAACAGTTGATTAAAAAAAGCAATTTTTTCTTCAAGCGTATAATAATACTTATATAGTGCAAACCTCCTTTAGAAGCAGCCTAGTAAAAAAATGTAACAATAT